ACACACACACACAGGGGTGATGAGATGTTTTACAGTGTGTTCAGGTGGGGTTTATGAGACCATTTGAACAACGACTCACCAGGTCCCACATCCACACTGAAGGGGCTCCTGGGGATCCCCACCCCTCCGAAAGTGACGGTAACTGTGTGCGGGCCGGCCTGGGTGGGCCGGTACGTGCAGCGATACATGCTGTCGCCCTTATCTTCCATCATCGCCTCCACAATGTTCTGGCGGCCCTGAGGGTCTCTGATCATGGCCGTCACATCTCCTGTACCGGCTCCTACAGAGAAGAGAAAAACAGTCAGTTTTTAACTTCAGTCTCTGTTTGTGGGGACAAAGAAGAGTAAGACTTGACTTTTTGAAAATGTAAACTAAGTCAAAACACATAACACATATAAATATTTTTTTAGTAAACTACACCCGCCAACTACTTGGCTCAAGTGTAGCTCAACTGTGCCTATCTCAGTGATGCTAGTTAAGCTAGCTAACATTACAGCTCAGCTGAGGAGGATGCCTGCACAGTCACAAGCACGAGCCTCTCGTCCATGAGCAGATGCACGCTTCCTTCTGCACAGTGATACTCAACCTAATTTATATAAAAACAATACGAACAACCATGAATAACAATGTGATGGGCATAAAAATACAATAAAACCCTAAAAACTGACATTACTCCAAAGTAAAAGCCAGACTAAAAACATTTAAGATGCGCAGAAAGAAAATAGGCTCTAGATGAAACAGCTCACAACAAAGTCTGTGGATTATTTTGAATAACAGGCTCATGATTTCTGAGAGACATTGCTGTTGAGTTTTTCTAAATGTGTTTTTCTTTGAACATCACAAGCTGAGTTCAATTATATCAGAGAGAACGCAGACTACAAGATCTTTACTCTTCTGCCAAAAAAAGATTGAAAGTATGTATTTTTGATTCTGGGGGTGAACTGTCCCTTTAAAGCTGTTGATGGTCAGTAAATAACTTTGGGCTGTGGAGGCTTTAGAGCTTTTTAACAGCAACTTGGATAAACCTGGCCTGAGTAATGTAACAAATTAATGTTACTGCAATTAATAAATACTTTAATAACTTGCCCAACACTGATCCTGACCAGCTGACAACATGTCTGCAATGTGTGTGTGATTACATAGAAAACAATGTGTGTGGGCGTTTTGAGGCGTATGTGTTGCGTTTAATCTACAGTTTGTGATTGAGACATCACATCCTTTCTCAGCACTGAGTAATACCTATAAACATATCTGTGTTTCTGTGTGTGTGAAACATCGTCAGAGGCTGTTTGTGTGTCTGAGAGTCCTCTGACCTGCAGTGTAGATGTCAAAGTAGGTGGGTTTGTTGGCGATGTTGCCCACAGGTTCGACTCCCGGCCCTTTGACCGTGACCTTGGAGGCGTCGCCCAGCGCCTTGTCCACGTTCACCTCAAAGGGACTTTTGGGAATCGGCTGGCCTGCAAACAACACCGTCACCTAGGAAACAAAAAATAAAACAATTATTCAGACACATCAAATATATTTTTCCACCTTGTCTTCCTCTCACTAATACTTAATAACACTAAATAATAAACCCACAACTTCCCTTCACAGAATATTTGTTTTAAAAAAGTAATGGGTTTAGTAACTGATGTGATTTGAATACTTTAAACTCTATACATGGTTAACGTTGATTGAATGAAGGCTTTGAATGCTTTGATTAATTACCTTACCATTACCTGAATTTCTTTTTTATCAAATCATATTCAATCTCAAGAGCAAATCAAATTAAGAAAACAAGAGTATAGTAACAGATCTTAAAGTTTCAAAGGAAAAATACTTAATAAGGCTTCTCTTACTGTATCTGAAAATTCATATTAAATTTACCTTCCCAGACACAACAACTAACAACAACAGATATCACTGAAGTATTTTATTAATTGTTTCAAAATGAAGCTTACCTTGTGAGGTCCCATGACTTGAGGAATGTAGGTGACACTAAACGTCTTCTTGCCCTCATTAGGCTCCGGCTTCAGCTGTTACACACACACACAC